TAATCGAATAAAATAATTCGAAGTGGTCTGTATTCTGTCGAAACTGCCAGACGCGGATCGTGATTTCGATCTTTTTGGATCTCATCAGCGAGTCGCAGACAGCATACATAATCGTAAAATGTAGCATCGTACTACAGATGGCGTTTACCGCGCCATTTGTGGTATTTTCTAAAACGCGCTGTTCAGACAGCAGGTAAAGGTTGTTCTGTGTTCTATCGGAGCTGTCTGCGACGCGCTGATGAGATCCAAAAAGACCGAAATCGCGATATGCCTCTGGCAGTTTCGACAGAATACAGACCACTTCGAATTATTTTAAAGTATATAATGCTTTTTATAACAAAAGGAAAGGACTGAGGATGATTTTAAATGATAGTTTTGTACATTATAAAGATCTTACTGATATAATTGCTACAAATTTTAACTCAAATTAAGAAGTAGGAAACAAATCGTGTTGCGTAACCCAAATGATGTAGCCTATTTTTAATATACAATATGTATGTCTTCGGTATCATATCAGCCGTATTTGTATGTTTTAATAGGCAGTATGAAGCGGTCCACGTGGACTGTCAGTTGGCCATGACAGGTTTTCACATGCAGATTTAATTAGTGTCCGCATTACACATGCCTGGATTGGTTGTAATAACCAGCGTCCGGTAGCGCTAAATATATACGTAGATATACGCATGTTGACTTAAACTACCCTCTGCTCGACTTGACAGGTAATTGGATATTTAATTGGGTCGACGTTTAAGACTGTGACTTTAATGCAACTGGAAGGCAAACAGAGTCCAGAAGTTGTCTTTTAATACTACATAACGTCAAAGCTTATAGTTGAGGGATTTGTTGAATATTCATATATACATTTAAACTCTATATAACGACACTTAAGGAACTGAACATTTTTCGGCGTTATAAAGAATGGTCGCTAAATGGAGAGAAATAAAAGATATTACTTTACTATTCTATAATAATATGCTTTTACCAATATAGTACACATTTTGCACACGAACATGTTATCTTCGTCTGATGTTTCTTGCTGCTCCAATATTTTAATTGTATTTTGTTACGTATCTTACTTACTATATCTTGAGATACTGCTGGATCAATTTGATTATATGAAAAGTATTTTTTTAATAGTTTCGCTGCATCAAGTGCTTGTTTGATGCTTGGTGGAAGGACAGGATCGTCTTCTTCAACAACGTACACAGCTGTAGTTCTTATCTATTTCGGCAACTTAGAAAGTACTGCTTAATGATGTATAATGTCGCATTGTTGTCGTTAAATAGAGTGAGTGTGACGCGATATAGAGTGTAATATTGTATAGAATGTAAACCAACCAAAGTCAAGCAATTTCGACGTTTTAAGGAGTTTGTCGTTAAATCGAGTGACGTTATAAAGAGTTTTCCCTGTATTAACTTCAGTTTTCTAATGCGAATGGCATATATTTTTTCATTTGAAGATTAGCTGCTACAGTATTAAAAATTATATTAATTAATTAATTATAAAAGTTTAGTTAAGTTGAAATTTGAAACAATTACGTTTTTACGGAAAGGTCGAGCACCTCCACCATAATATTTCACTTTTATGAAGAAACCGTTTTCGAACAAGGCAACCCGCAGGGGTACTTCGCTTAGTTCATCAGCTACATCAGCTCGAACCCAGCGCTTCTCAAACTTAATTGTCATCATCATCATTAGGGTCATCAGCCCTAAAACTGGTTGGACACGCACGCACTTCCACTTTTTCTTATTCTGAGCTAATATTTACATTTCCCTAAAACTAAAACATCCCACATCCTTAACTCTTTGTGAACAGTAATCTAGTCTAGGTCTATCTCTACTCCTCTTAACTCACGCCTGAGAAGGTGTCCTACCAACCTATCTCGCCTATTTCTTATTGACTTCCATAGCGCCTTCTGTTTTCCTACTCGCTCTAATGCCTCCTCATTTTTAACCTTTTCTATCCACGGTATCCTCATCATTCCCGTATAATACCACATTTCGAACGCTTCTAACGTTTTTCTTTTCGACCCTGCAACACCCTTCGTTTTAATATCTCTACTGCTCTTTCCATCCTGAATAATCTGATTTCCTTCATACCAAAAATCAACGACAAGATTCCTTAAATGTGATAAATGATAAAAATTGCAGTTTAAATAAATCATTGATTGATAAGCAAAATTAAGGCACGTTTGCAAAACTTAGTAGAACATGAGTACCTAAATGGTCCCTTCCAACATCAAAACAGATCTAAAACAAATTTTGAGTGACAATGGTTCATTCCACTTAGCAACCCTCCGCGTTAAAACAAACCGAAGAGGGTTTCGAAGTGTGTTTGTTACCCTAATTTAATATTTCCAGCACCAAAACAATCCCGCTTTATGACAGCTTGACTAGCACGACGAATTTTGGGGATATCGCGCGTTTATATCTCCTATACGAAATTAAAAATGCTACCCTCCAATTTTGATATTGCAACAGTGTTATTTGCTTATTACTAATAAAAGCAACCACTAGTTACAATGAAAAATGTGGGGGTACTAGAACGTTTGTTAAGGTATTTTAAAATATCTCTTAAATCATGTTTCCACAACCTCATTGCAAAATTTCCAAAAAATATTTGCACCCTTTTAGTGTAGGACATTGAAATTATTTATTTATATAATTACTAGATACTATAATTTTAAATCACAAATTTTCACCATACCACACAGTTTTTAAGCATAGCGATGTAGCAAAACTCTCATAAATGTTCCCACCTACTACTGTTAGATACAACTAATCACAAAAGAGTAAATAAATCGAAAATTATAGCATATATATTTTTTATCAGCCGGTGTAACTGCTTTATAATTATTATGTTGAAGTCTTTTTACGTAAGGATCGAAGGTATTGAATTTTTAGCCCTTGGTTGTAATATTGATCCACTCTGTACATTTCTACGCATTTCCACTCGAGCGATCCGGACAGTGAAGAATGTCGTCTAGAATATTCGGTTTATAAACAATCACGTGGTCCGCCGTTTTGCGGAAATGGACTATGAAAAATGAGCCTGATAAATTTCTTGCAGGAAGTCGACGTCGGTCCGGCCAAATACAACATCACAACAATTTACAAGAAAATGCAAGACCGGAAGTCCCACCATACCGGAGATGTGCCGTTCCTATCTACAGCGAAGAGACTGCCCGGCTACGACCAGGACTCCCCCGGTACGTTTCCTTTTATACAATGTTTTATTTATCTCTGGTCTCGTTTTATATGTATCATGCGATTTTTCTTTATTTAATGGCACAAGCTTTATCAGCCGTAAAATGGCCCTATCTATTGTTTTGTTTTTATCTAAATAAACGAAAGCGATTGGAAAACAGGGGATTTTCACGGCAATTTTTCTTTGTGTTAATGAATGAGTAAAGGAAATACTAAAATTAAACAATGAGCAGTTTTAGAAAATACCACAAATAGCGCGGTAAACGCCATCTGTAGTACGATGCTACATTTTAGGATTACGTATGCTCCAACAAGGTCCATTTAAATATATGGATATTTACTTGCTGAAACGAATCCCGGCGTAGCTAACCTCAACGTGATAGACACGTTACCATAATCGGATAAAATAATTCGAAGTGGTCTGTATTCTGTCGAAACTGCCAGACGCGGATCGTGATTTCGATCTTTTTGGATCTCATCAGCGAGTCGCAGACAGCATACATAATCGTAAAATGTAGCATCGTACTACAGATGGCGTTTACCGCGCCATTTGTGGTATTTTCTAAAACGCGCTGTTCAGACAGCAGGTAAAGGTTGTTCTGTGTTCTATCGGAGCTGTCTGCGACGCGCTGATGAGATCCAAAAAGACCGAAATCGCGATATGCCTCTGGCAGTTTCGACAGAATACAGACCACTTCGAATTATTTTATTTAATGAGCAGTTACTAAAAACCAATAAAGTTCATATAATATAATTAATTAAGTTCCTAATATTAAACTTAATTAATTTAAGGAGTAAGACCATGCAACAAGAATGATTTTGAAGTATCAGAAAGTCGTCCGCATTAAATGAGGTCCAAATTTAGGGCAACAATCATAACTTCACAAAAGTTAAATATTTTAATTTAACTTTTTTTTTAACTCTTGGTCAATCCCAGGCTAAATGGAATAAAAATTTATCAGTTTATTTATCGGTAAATGTCAAATTCCTACCCCATTTTGTATTTCTTATACATATAATTCATGTTCGATCAACATCATCATCAAGTGCATTCCTAATAAAAATGCCATCATTATCTTATCATTAGGTGAAATTGTTTGACATACTAATAAGTACAATGCTTTTGCACCATCATCATTTTCATAGATCGTCATAAATAGACATCATCATCATCAAAAGCCTGAGCTAATCTTCGCATTTCCCTAAAACTAGAACAACCCATATCCCTAACTATTTGCGAACATTTCTTAGTAACGATAAAATAAAAATCAAAATAAAGAAGACGTTTAAGTCTAAATTGTTCAAAGAATATGATGCTGTAGTGGACGCGTTTGAATTTAAAGGTTGGATTCCATCCGAGAACGACCTACCCACTAAAACCCCTGTATCTCAGATTATTTAGTGTGCTAACTAAAAAGGAACATTTAAAAAGGGATTGTGAAATGGGACAGTTAGGATATAAAGGGTTCCTAAATATAAGCCCGTTTACATATAAATTACCGATTTGCTATTGACGAGAATTCTCGAAAATACCTTACAGTATCTTCAAGGATAAGAAATAACATCGAAAATGTTCAATAAAAGTTTTCCGCTGAGACTTATACTTTAACCCTGCATCTATTCCTATAAAAACGGACATTACACAACTGTTGAAAGTTTTCGAGCAATGAGACGGAAAAGTTTTGCTAGAATTGCTGATTACATAGACTAACTTTAACGTTCAAGAGAGGTCGTGGCCACAAGAAGCTTGAATAAATTGCATGCTTGATTCATTTACAAACTTCGTTACGTACTTGATCCTTTCTTATTATATGTAAGTACAAGGAGAAATTGTGGAAGACTTAAATATTCTGTCGCGACTCGCTATTTAATTCATTTGTCATTGCGTGTCTTGATTTTCATTTGTAAATTTTCGTACATAATGATAGACTCCGATAATCAAACGGAAAACTGGTTACATGCAAATGGAAATTGCATGATTAATATTTTGTAGGATGAATAATACATCTCCAGAACAGTTATTTTTAAGACTATATTGTCCTTAGTACAGTAATTGGCATCTATGAATATGTGGCTGAATTAAAGATCAGTTTTTAAATGATCGTATCAACTTTTTTTAGAAGCCCGAAGTAAAAAGTACGAAACAGACTGCACTCCTACTGTAAATTACATAGATAATAATTGTTTATTATTTAATTATGTAATTTTTTCCAGGTTAGCACCTAATTAGTAGAACTATATGTAAAAAACAATTTTTTTTCAGTCTGAAGATGGTTGAATAAACCGAAACGTTACAAAAACATACAGTTGTGTAATTATTTAACCGCCACCCTGGAAGAAAACTATACAATTTAATAGTAACTGTCAGAAATCTAACTTAAATTTTATTATTTATCTATATCCCTAGACAATAATTTTCAGTCTCTCTCCAGTCTCTCAGAGTCTTTCAGCGTCTCTAAAAGCGGCTCTCACAGTCTTTCACAGTCTCTCAGTTATTGCCTAGGTGTTTTTATGGATCTCTCACAGTATCTGTATGAGAGACTCGAACGATAAAATTGTTAATTCAGAGATTCGAGTCTCTCACAGAGAGACTGAATGAATAAAAATGAAAATTTGAGAGACTCGAGTCTCTCGTAGAAAGACTGGGATCTCTGATATATGTTGAACTTAGAAAATTTTAACCATGTCTATCGAGACACCATTTATTGAGAGATCCGAGTCTCTCTTCAGAGACTGGATACGAAATGAGGATCACACTATGAGCGACTCGAGTCTCTCGTTCAGAGACGTTAAACAGTTTTTTTGACAGTCTCTCGACAGTCTCTCTTAGCGACACCAGAGAGACTCGATGAGCGACGGAGACTCAAGGCTCGCTTTCAGAAACTCTGAGAGACTGAACATTTTTATCTCGGGATGGTGCTTTCTATAGTAGAAATACCTACTAAAACTAAAGCTAATTGCAGATAATTTTTCATTTAAAGTAATTGTAATACTTTTAGGTGTCGGTGATTACATTCTCCCTGAAATACGTCCAAATGCCAAAACTATTAGTTCAGTTGGTCGCCCAGAATGTATCAAAGGTGACGATATCCCAGGTCCAGGAAGTTATGAGGTAAGTCAAATACTTTCGCGTGTCTTATTGCTACTTAATAATAAAAAAAGAAAGGGATAGTTTTATATTTTTCAAAACAAATTCTTTTTCGATATTAACAAGATTAACGGTAGTCTACGACCTGCAATTGTTACCTGCCTGTTGGACATAATCCTTGTATTTTCATGTATTTATTCGGTTTTTACAATTTCTTAAAGAAACCTTTTCAGTGCTTATAGATCACCTCTTTAAAAAATTGCTCCTCACTGAAATATAACGCTATTTGCTATTAGACAATATGTGGATCGAAAATAACTAATCCATCGATATATCTTCTTTGATCCAAATAATAAATCATCAATAAATTCCTTGATATAAGTGCAGGATCCGTTCCAATTTTATAATCAATATAATACTAGGCCATCTACGTTCCAAACAGCAACTACCACATACCGCTTGCTTATATGGTACTATGTGGACGAAAAATAAAAAGAAGGTGCACTAGTAGAAGAACTATTTAACCCAAAAGTCATTAATTTGTACACTGCTTCTTGTTTTTACGGGTAGTATGAAAAACAATTAAGTACACTACCAACTGGCCGTTAATATTTAAAATTAAATTCTATTCAAAGAAAATAAAATCGTTTAAAAAAATAGAACCAAATATGGATAGCGTAGATTCCAATAAAACTGGTATGCGTCTTGAGCACGATAAGGCAAAAGGATTCGTCTTGCACGGTTGACTGAAAATCTCACCACCCACAAGCAATTATTTCACGTGAACGAGCGGTCCTCCAAGTCGAAAATGAGTTAGTCTGAAGGTGGATACCTGGAAAAATAGCCATCGGATGTTTCAATTAAGCAGTGAAAAACGTAAAGAGAGTGGAACAGAGAGAGAGAAAGAGAGATGTGATTGGAGAGAGATTGGCGGCACAAAAGCCAGTGAAACTCGTTAGTAGATTAATGGCTATCCTGACTTTTTTATTTCAATGAATGGAACAGCAGAACATCCCGGGAGACAGTGAAAGACAGTGGACGAAATACGGAAAACTCGACTCGAAAAGTGCGAAGGTTAAATACCATAGACAACCCTTAAAAGTATACAGTATCTAAGATGCTCTTATGATTGATAAAATGGTCAAATTTCAAGCGTAGGTAGAATTTAAAAAATATGATTTATATTTACTATGCGAATTTCATTTAGAAAGTAAGAAATCTCGTGACAGACAAAATGATCAGGTGATCACTTACTAAAAGAAATGAGATATTAATCCTCCGATTGCTAATGAGGCCGATCAAAGTGTGATCGAGATATTAGAAGAGTGATTGAAGTTGATTGATTCAGACGCTAACACAAAGTGGGAAGGGAGTTATCCGAATTGGCGCGGGATGATTCGTGATGGCGTATCCGATCCGTCGCGAATCGGTAACTTAGCCTGATCTGTCGGCGTCTGTTGTTAGATATCTATGATTCACAAGTGAACTGCTATGTATATTTTTTAATTTAGCCGAATCCAGTAGTTTTATTTGCACCCTTGTGGTGTGAGGCTGTGTTTTGGAATGGAACACTGACTTAATTTTTCAGTTTTTAAGTTTATTGGAAAGTGAATCCGCTCTGTGGGTTTAAAAAAAGGAAAATATCTATTGCTTGTACTTTACTCAAAATTTAGCAAATAAAATTTAACCTTAATCGACTTTAATTTAAATTTAATACTGACATCCACTAGCGCCTTTGTTTTTGTTTTTCTTTTGAGTAAATATGAACCCATTCTTTTTTCTCCACGCGACACTTTAATAATACTGAACTTTAGCTTCAAGCTCGTGTAGAACAGCTCACGCGCGACCAAGCCCGATCCCTATTGTTCTAACACGGACAGTGGAAACTCACCTTTAGGTGCATTTTTACGTTGGTAATCGAGAAAAGTGTGTTTATACATATGTAGACGCAAGATTCAAGTGCATGTACCAAAATCAAATCCTATGGTGTATCCGTTAAAAGAGAAAATAATAGAGACATAGTCGATGCAGTGTCCGATTCGTATGATCAGTACTGTATGAAAATAAATAAAAGTAAAACTAAAATACTGATATGCAAGGGAAGAAAAAGTAGGGAAAGAGCGAATATAAAGATAGGAGACGAAAAATTAGAAGAAGTGGCTGATTTTAGATACCTAGGAAGTCAGATAAGTGAGGATGGAAGGAGTAGTAGGGATATAAAGCAGAGGATAGCGCAGGGTCATGTCGCCTTTAATAAAAAGAAGTCACTTCTATGCTCGCGAACGGTTAAATTAGAAATTCGAAAAAGGTTGTTAAAGGTGTATGGTTGGAGCACGGCGTTGTACGGGTGCGAAACATGGACAGTGGGAGCGGCAGAAAAGAAAAGGTTAGATGCGTTCGAAATGTGGTGTTATAGGCGAATGATGAGGATATCGTGGGTAGAAAAGGTTAGAAATGAAGAGGTATTGGAAAGAATAGGAGAACAGAGGACTCTATGGAAGTCAATAAAAAATAGGCGAGATAGGTTGGTAGGACACCTTCTCAGTCATGAAGATCTAGTCAGAGACATATTAGAGGCAGAAACAGGAGTTAGAAGGGGTAGCGGTAGACCTAGATTAGATTACTCTTCGCAAATAATTAAGGATGTGGGCTGTTCTAGTTTTAGGGAAATGCGAAGTTTAGCTCAGGATAGGAAAGAGTGGAGGTACGTGTCCAACAAGTCTTAGGACTGATAACCTTATGATGATGATGATGAATTATTTTGGATGTTACAAATGCGGTCTCAATTTCCGTGATTCTATTCCACTGTGCGCCGGCGGTGGCGCATTGAACTTCGAGCAGGGACAAAAAGTTGGAACGTCGCCCCATCGACAAGACAAATGCGAACGCCAATAGCAGCAACCGCGATTGTTGGCCGACGAAGACAGACAAAAATCGCTGCAATTCTTTGCGATTTATAGGTTCCGTTGCAGAGAGCCACCACGTTCTTTGCTCGTCTTTCTCGCATTCGTACCGTTTGTCTTTGCACCATCAAAACCAGAGAGAAGATGAGCTGAATGAATACGTAGTTTTTCAGAAAGCAAAAGTTCTTTCGGTTCAGTACAGATGCTCTGATACTTTAGTGGTTATGATGCCGTGAAAATTATTTAGAAAATTTTTCACTCCCGTAAAAAGGATCTAACTGCATCGTCTAGGTAATCACAGACACTGATGGTAAGGATTTTCATCGATTAGTTATAGAGGGAGCCCGGCTTTTCGTTTTCTATACGGTTGCATTATTCCCGTGGATCAACCAGCCCAGTTCGAGCTCGAGATTAGGGATTATGACGTATGAATGCCGTCTCGAAAAACTCCCTTCGTTGGCGAACAGATGCAGATGAATAAAAGGACCGCCGTGTATTATCCTTTCACCGATCTTGGCTCTTATTTGCTACCGGGAGCAAATAGAGACGTCCTTGAGTGAGAAGCTATAGAGTCAGTTGAGTTCTTTGATTTCCGCATCGCGGAATTATAGTGGGATTAGTTCTGATGAAAGGATTCCCTGGATACAGGGTGGTTTGATTTTTAGGGAAAAAGAAATAATTACTTTCTTTTGTATTGTGGCGAAATAACTCTTTTTGTTTTTTCTGTGTGTAAATATTTTTTCTAATTTTATTTCATTTCAATTAATATTTCATTTCAAGTAATATTTCCTTTCAGTCTAAACTCTATTGTTCTTTCAATCACTTTTACCTGGAAATCCAACTTCAACCATACCTGCATGCACTCCCATACTAATATCTGGTTTTACCCTTAATTGCTTTCTCTTGAATTCTGTACTATCTAATTCTGTGTATTCCTAGAAACTAGTGTCTTCACCCTCTCTCTCACTACTTTTCCTTCTAGAACATTCTATCAAAATTACTAACAACCCTATCCTATAAATACTCTAAAATTTCTTATCTCAAGACAGTCTCTCGTCTACCGCTACTACCACCTTTCGTAAGTGCTTTTATTCTATTGCTATTCGCTACATTGTTTTCATTTTTGTTGTCTTTGTTATTTTTATTGTTATTGTTGTATTATCTCGTTCTTTCTGTTACTTACTTTGTTCTCGTTTGTTTGTGCCTTTTTGTTACTTTTTGTTACTTGTGTTTTCGTTGCTATTGTTATAAACCGTTATCTGTTGTTATTAGTGTTTTTTTGGTATTTAAATAATACCCATCAAAAGACACTAAAGTATAATATGAAGAACTTGGTAATATACATGAATGCCATTGTTAAAAATTTAAATATTTCCTAAATGAAGAATTTCTTCATTTTAATTGAGTTTATTGGGAATTAGTGAGAATCGTCAATGGCACAATATTAAGTTTCCGGAATCTTAGTAGAAGCAAGGCATTAAACGTGCTCTCCGTTTGGTAGCAATTTAGTTGAGAAGACACGCCAACTCGTTGCTAATTCGACTCGAAGTTTCAACCGTTGTTACCGCACGCAACGACCAAAATGTTTGTAAAAGGTTCAATCCAATTACGTTAACAAAACCGCTAGCCGTTTGTACAAACATTAGATGAACAAATCGCTACTGCTAAAGTACCTAATATTTAGGAACGTGTTTGTTAAATTTAATCGATGGATTTTATGATTTCTTTCAGTATCTTATACGAATTGAAAGCCGTCGAAAAGCGTAATATTTTTTTATCTGTCACTAGATGAATTTTGATCATACATATATAAAGTTGCTTGCTATAGTTCAAGTCAAAAATCATTAACAGTAAAAACAATGAATTATTAACCAGTTTGTAAAGAGTTTTCATTATAACAAAGAGGACAGAGGACAAGACAGGGTTGGCTTCAAAAACGCATTAAACTGTTTTCCTTTTAGCCAAACAATATGAAAAAAATTCACTTAACCTTGCCCATCCTACTCAACTAAAACTAACCTAAGCTAATTTAGTAAAAAAGTTGAAGTGATTTACCTTTTTTTGTAAAAAATCATATGTCGGTAAAAGTACCTACAGTGGAATTCGTTTATTATGACTCCG